GAGGAAGGGGATAGACGAAGAGGAGGGGGAAGATGGGAATGTCGTCAACACCGAGTCTTCGGCACAAGCCCAAATAGTCCCTCGTCGGAATGTCTGAATCCCAAATGTCAAGTCTGGATCCAATGTCATCAAGTCTCAAGTCACAACTCTGTCTCTCTGTGTCGTAGTCTGAGAAGTCAGGTGGCGAGAGGGTGAGAAGAGAAGGTGGACTGAGAAGAGGAATTAGAAGAACTCTCTCTGTCTCTCTGTCCTGTACTAACCTGTGAAGTTGGCGCCTTGATGCAGGTACCACAAAGTTGGAGCTGGAGCGATGGCGCCACAAGTAAGTAACACTGGCCTCCGCCAGTCTCTCTCCCACTCTACGATCTACCACCTACCAGCGCCCAGCGCTGAAGACTACAACTACAGCTATGGCACCCAGCGCCGAAGACTACCGCTAGCGCTACCACTACTGCCTAGCGCTGAAGACTACTGCAGCGCTCCTCCTGAGTGCTGCGGCCGAGATCCTGAAGACTACCTCGTGCCTACTGAACTACCTATGTACTACGGGTGTGCCTCTTGAGCCTGCCGAAGGGAGGCAGGGGCTGCAGCTGCAGCTCCTGCTCAACTCGTGAGGAACAGGCTATTTCTGGCCTGTTCCGCATCCCTGTTTACGTGCCTGAGTCTTAGGGGCAGGTCGAAACAATGAGGGCCTGAAAATGGCCCTCCGTTTCAGGCTGAAAACTCTGGGTCTGAAAAGACCCAGAAATAGGCTGAAACAGGGTAGGGCCTGCAGGCCCTCGTTTTTCAGCATCCAGGCTGACACGAACGGGGCCTGTAAGCCCTAAGTTTTAGGCTTTTGGGCTGAATGTCCGGGACGGGCCCTGCAGGGCCCGTGTGGCTACGCAGTATGCCACACGTCTGCAGCTCACGAAGTACTTGAAGATGCCGCCCAATGCAGACCATCGCCAATACCAGGTATGTGCCCTCACATCATCATCATCATCATCATCGTTCTCTCTCTCCCCTGACTTACTCCCACGTCCTCCCTCTGTACACCTGAAGACCACCCCTGCGCCTCACTGTAGTCCAAGCCCATCCAGCTATGGAGGCTGGGCTATGGCGCTGCCCTCAGCAGCGCCCTGCTCCTTGCACGACCGCACGCGCTAGCACCTTGCCTCTCAGCGCCAGCAGCAGCCCACGATCGTCCGCTCCAGCAGCGCTGCCGCCAACATGCAAGTGCTGAATGAGAGGCCATGCAGCGAGCTCTTTCCTATACGGAAAGAGCTGGCCTGCCTTTGCAGCCTGGCTGGCCCGGGGCCTCGGACCAGAAGCTTCCGGTAGGACGCAGGATGCTGCTCCTCTGTTGCAGCTACTGGGCCTCATTCGGTTGGGCCTCCCAACTGTCTGTGTATGAGGCTGCGATTCTCGCCCAGGGCCCGCATTTTTCTCAAAGGCCCGGAAGGCCGTGGAATGTCTCGCTGCTTTGCTGTGTTTCCCTCAACCAGCTGGCGCGCCTGGACCCCAAATACGAATTTGACAGCTTAGGGCCTCTCGTGATTTGTTAGGCCCGCCTTCACTTAGGGCGGGCACATCTGCAGTAGGGGCCCCTTAGGCCTGCCGAGGACCCAGATCCTCGCATTCCCTCCTTTTCTTTGATAGTCCTCTGAGAAGTCTTCTAATCTGCAGACATCTTCCCTCTAAGTTCTCTTTCGTAGCCTGCAATAACTTGAGGTGCTGTTCTCATGAGTTCTTCTCTGGTGAACCACCGATCTTCCTTGGGATCCAGATGATGTCTGCATCTCACACGTATTGCATTCTTGGCTTAGGAGGGCGGCCTCTGCCCGGCGGTTTAGGCATTGGCATCACTCGATGCTCCACGATTTTATCGATGTTGACTTCACCATCCATGGTTGGGGGCAGCATGGACCGTCTGGAAGGAAACTGTGCAGTTTCTGCGAAAGGTGCAAGCTTTCAAGTGTGAAAAATTGGGTGAGTGCGTAGGTGAGGTGGAATGTGAATTGCATAGGAAGGTCCGTCTATCTGATTCCCGACTATGTCTAGGACCTCCCAGGGACCGAAGTACTGTGGCATTAGTTTGCGAGATTTGCCCAGCTCTTGACCCAGTTCAGATGATTTGACCTAGACTCTATCACCCACCTGAAAGTTAGAGGGTTGTTTATGATTATTCTCAGATGCAATCATAGCATGAGACTTCCTAATATGCTCAACGGACTGCTGCAGCATCTGCTCATATTTGACAGCAAACTCTATGCTGCCAAGTGTTGCAGTGGGTTGTCTTTCTAGTAGCAGAAAGTCAAGTGCAGTTATGGGCTTCCAACCAAGATGCAGCTGGTTGGGAGTCATGCCAGTAGTACTGTGCACAACATTTTCGTATAGGCTGGCGACGAGAGGTAACTTCTCATCCCAGTCATCCTCACTTGGCTTAATATAATGCTGAAGCAGGTGTTGTACTACTCGGTTCATCTGTTCCGCCTGGCCATTGGACTCAGGGTGATTCCCTGACGTCATTTGTAGCTTGGTGCCCATCTGCTCAGATGTGGATTGCCACAGTTCACTGGTAAATCTCACATCCCTATCACTCACTATAGACGTGGGGAGTCCAAAATCGCGTACCCAGCTATCCAAAAACAATTTAATGACAAAATCAGTTTTAGCAGTCTCAGGCATGGCAACGAGTCTTGCATACTTGGAAAAGCGGTTGGCATTGTACTTGGCGCGGCGGAGTGTCTCCAATACTCGTCGAAGATGCCGAAGATGATCCTCAAGTGTCCGACTATAGACGAGAATATCGTCTAAGTAGACCAGCACGAACCGGTCCAACATTGCACGAAACTCGTTGGTTATTGCTGCTTGAAAGGTTGTCGGGGCGTTGGTGAGTCCAAAAGGCATGACCACCCACTCAAAATGCCCGTACCGCATCTTCAATGCGGATTTGTAGCAATCATTCGGCCGGATCAAGATTTCATGATATCCCGACTTTAAATCCAACTTAGAAAAATACTTCGCGCCGCCCAATCGCTCAAGAAGATCGTCGATGCGAGGAAGAGGCCCCACATTCTTGACGGTTTGCGTGTTGAGCTTGCGGTAGTCGATGCATAAACGTAGAGATCGACCGATCCCGCACCACACCGGTAGATGACTTGAAGATGTCGGCGAACTCGTCAAGCAACCGCACCGCACGGGGGTCCGAAGACAAGTTCGTGGGTGAAGAGTTGGCTACCGCGACGGTCCATAGGAAACATAGGCCGATTTCGTCGGGCTGCTTGTAAGCACAAGTAGCCCGGAATGACTTGGCCGTCACCACTTGGCACTGAATCGAAGGGTGTGGAAGTTTGTAATGTTTGTGTGAGTGTTGCTCAGGGTTTATCGATTCGTCTGTATTGTGAGGGACAGTACGTTTGTCGCCAAGGGTTGCAAAGCACGGGAAGTCCTTGACATGTAAGATGGCAATGTGTCTTTTTTCGTTTTGTCTGTTTGTTCAGGACTGGATTTTGCCTTCCTTCGAACTTGTGCACCAAGGCCAACCCTTTGCATAAAGGCTTGACTCATAAAATTGCGAGACGCGCCGCTATCCAGCAAAGCGCTGCAGGACGCTTGCCCAACTTGGATGCGGACATAGATGAGTGGTGCGTTGTTGTCGTTGTACCGCTGATTGCCAAACTCACGGGCAACCTTGGTAACATACGCAAGGATGTCCCCCACCGCGACTTCGTCATCCGTCGGCGAAGTTGGTGGTTCATAGAAGGATAAGTACGTGTGAAGATGAGCGCATAGTGTTGCGCATTGCGGTCCCGACAAGCGGCTCGTGGTCGGGAGAGGAAGCCATGAAAAGTCCTCAAACGTGAGCGGGTCCAATACCTCTATGTTGAACTTGCACGCCGAATCCCGTGAAGAACCACTTGAAGACGATAAGTCGCCACTGCCGGACGGAGAAGATGCGACACACACGTCTTGTCCTTGAGCTTGAGTACCCAACGTAGGAACGAGCCGGGCAACATAGTCCTCAAAAGAATAAAGAAGAGGAGGACTATCGACTTCCGCATGTGCCTCGGAATGAAGGGCGGTCACCCGCGAAGTGACCGGTTCCGGAGGCGTCGAGAGTGTCGTCGAGTCACTCCCGGCGGTGCTCAGTTTCCCAATTTACCCTTGCCTTTCGACGGGCAGGCGACTTTCTCATGGAGATCGCTGTTGCACCATAGGCAATAGTGAAATCTCGTGCGTGCTTTGTACGTCGTTTCAGAGAGACCGACGTGGGCCCATGGGGTTGGGGCTGTTGCGTCGGGCCCCGGGCTAGATGCGGTGTTTGTCTTCGCCTTGCCGCGTCCTCGGCCTTTGCCGGGGCGGCCACCTTCCCGGGCAACTGCGAGTCTGTCCCCCTCATTGGCAGACACGGCCTCGCTAATTTGGTCAAACGGCGTTGCCGCCGCGACCACGACCACTTTCGGTCGATGTTGATCTCTGCTCAGATCTGCCGCAGATGAACGCAGGTTCTTAGCCTCCTTGTTCGTGACAATAATCTGTGCGGCCTTGTCAAATAGTTCCGCCGTTGTCGTCAGGGTGTCCTCAACATGAGTCAAGGCATTGCTTAATGTCGGACACGACCTTGAGATAAAATAGTGGCGTATGGCTTTGAAGCCCATTTGAATGTCTGGGACGGATGTCAAGCGTTGGTACTCGGCAATCCAGTCRGTACTCGGCAGCGTGCCTTGTTCGAAGACCATTAGCTTGTCCATTGCCTTGATCTCCGACGACTCTACTTGGAACCGCTTATGCCATGCCGCCTTTAGATCATCCCAACTGATCTTGGTGTGCAACTCTGCAGCGACCACCCCGTACTTGGACAAGAGATTGTCCATCCATGCTTGACATGCGCCTCCCGACCGGGAGTATAAGTACGCGTGGTGCTTGTATTCGCCGACAAGATGGAGCTGCAACGTGAGTTCAAACTTGTGGAACCACGGAATCGGCTCCGTCTTCGTCGAATCGCAGAAGATCTCTTGACCATCGAACTTTGGAGTTGACTCCCGCTGTCCCGAACTTGGGTTGGCGGCTGCAGCACAGATGTGATGCTCCAACTGTTGCGTCGCGGTGTGCTGTAACTGCACACCGTCCTTGAGGGATCCGACGTCAATCTCCAAGGCCTCGAGGCGATCAGAGGTGTTGGAGGAGCTGGCAACGGGGGCGGCGATGGTTTGTTCCAGCTGTTGGAGGCGGCTATCTACCGCCCGTTTGTGCTGCTGAACCATGTCGTCGAGGCTGTGGATGTCTTGCTGTGCAATGCATGTGGTCAAGAGGTCCGTGAGATGGGAGAGGAGTAGAGCGATCTTGTTTTCACTCTCCTCCATCTTTCCATTCTCGGCCTTTGTCCGCCATTCCGCCGCCATTGTGAGCAAGGCTCGCTCTCTCCCGAATATCTTCTCGCGTCGTTGACTTCGTTCTTCATCGGCAGCCCTTGCTGCTTCCTCGTCTTGCTGGCGCTGCTGTTCGATTGCCAACAAACGTGCCTTCTCGGCGTCCTCCGCCTTCTTCTTCGCTGCGGTTGCTGCGTCATCCGCCCGTCTCTTGGTTTCGGTACTCCAGGTCAGCATCCGAGCCTGATAGGCCTCGTCCGTTTCCCCGGACCTCTGGTCCATGACGACCGTTTGTGAACGCAACAGCATAGACCAGGCCGGGGGCCTGCTGGCGTGGTACTCCCTGCTGCTGACATGGCACTGTTGCCGGCTGACATGGCCTGCTGATGTGGTCTGCTGACGTGGCCTGCTGACGTGGCCTGCTGACGTGGCCTGCTGACGTGGTCTGCTGACGTGGCAACTCACCAATGCTGCCGCAGGGGGTACCTGGAGACAGGTAGAGAAGGTAAGGCGAGAGGGGGCAACAACATAGGTGGGGAGGGTGGGTGGGAAAAATCGCCCAGATAAGGAGCCACTAATCAAAAAAGAAAAGTTTGAACTTTGCAAAACAAAATTCGAGACAGTAGAAATCTCGAGTTTTGCAAGTTCAGTAGGTCTCCCAATCTCCCTTGAAGTTCGAAAGTACCAATGAGAAAAAAATCTCGAACTTTCAGACTGCAAATGATTATAGAACTGTGACTAAGAGAGTCCCAAATGTAAAATACAGCAAAATTTTCGGAATTACTCAGATGCGCAATTTGGAAAATGATAGCTGCAGGAGGGATTTCCCGTACAGATTTAAGAAAAACGATTTTCGGAAGAAAAATATTCCGGATTTCTAAATAACGGGAAATGCAACAGGAAATCGAAATTTTCGAAACGAAAGATATTCCTGATTTTCAACAACGAAATTTCGAATTTTCAGAAGAAAAACGAAAATGGAAATTTCAGATGTTGCGCTATTGGGTTTTTCCACATCAGAAATAGCGAGAAAACATATCCAAGAAAAGAAGAAAAAAAAATCGATTTTCGCCGAATTTATCAGCAGTAAGGTCAAAATCGTGATTTTGGGGGCTGACTAGTGTGCTCTAGTCAATCAATCAAGCCTAACCAGCTACCTAGTCCCCGCACACGTGTCAGATCAGGTTGTCCTGATTCACGTGCGGTGCTCTGATACCAACTGTTACATGCCCAGTTGGGCGATGTACATATAAACCGAGGATCCGCAATGTGATAAGAAGGACTGAATGGACAATGCAGTGCAAGTGGAATCTCAACAAGCAATGTGCATTCCGATGCATACAAAATGGTGCTTTATAGCGCAGGGAAGACTTTAGATACAAGTCCTGACCTGACCGAGACTGACCTCTATCACGTAATACAAGACAGCACAGCAGAGTGCTAGAATACCACTGACTAGCCCAATCAATGTTGCAACACAGACCAAACATACATCATGTCCATCACAAGGTGTGAAGGAGCCTGGCGCTATACACAGGAAAGAGGCGCCAGGTCCAGACATACACAGACGAGGAGGAGGGGATCAGACGAAGAGGAGGAAGGGGGAGATGGGAAAGTCGTCGACACCAAGTCTCGTTACAAGTCCCAAATAATCCCTCTTCAAAATGTCCGAAGTCCCATGTCGAGTCTGGATCCAATGTCGCCAAGCTCTCTCTCTCTCTCTCTCTCTCTCTCTCTCTCTCTCTCTCTCTCTCTCTCTCGTAGTCTGCTGATGCAGTGAAGTCAGATCGCGAGAGGGTGAGAGGGAGATGGTGGACTGAGAAGAGGAAGAAGAACTCTCTCTCTCTCACGAGCCAGGTACTAACCTGTGAAGTTGGCACTGTGCTGCAGGTACCTCGAAGACGAAGCTGGAGCAACGGCGCTGCAGGTAAGTCCTCCTGGCCTCCGCCCAATCTCTCTCTCTAGTATTACTCTAGCTTCTATGGCGTCCAGCGCTGAAGACTACCACTAATGCTACTAGCTCCCAGCGCTGAAGACTAATGCTAACGCTACTACTACTCCTGCAGCGCTCCTCCAGAGTGCTGTTGCCGAATCCTGAAGACTACTGACTGCCTCCTGCCTAGCTGTGAAGTGCATGGGAAGCCCCTATGTACTACCTCGGCCTGCCTCCTGACTGCCTCCGCCTGCCTGCAGTTGCAGGGCGGGCAGTCCAGGAGGCTGCTCTTGCCAATGCCAAACTAGGCCAGCGCCTGGCGCTGCAGCTCAATGCTGAGGCTGTCGTGGGAACAGGCCAAAAATAGCCTGTTCCTAAAACCCTGGTTTGGTGCCTGAGTTTCGGGGCAGGTCGGTCTGATGAGGGCCCGAAAATGGCCCTCCGTTTCAGGCTAAAAAGGACATGTCGTTTTTAGTCTGAAACGGCACAGGGCCTGTAGGCCCCTGTTTCCAGCTTTACGAGCTGAACAGACACGGGGCCTGTAGGCCCTGAACTTCAGGCTTTCGGCCTAAAATTCAGGCTTTTAGCCTGAAGGACGCAGGGCCTGGAAAATGGCCCTCGTGTGCAGGCGCAGCATGTAACAGCCAGTGTGAGTCTCCATCTGTTTGCATGTGTGCAAAGTGGAAAGAAAGCGAGTCTGATTGCATTGGTATCGGAGCTGGTTCCCGTTACCCCACGCGCCATCGTCGTTACCAGCGGGAAGGAGATGCACACGCCAGTTAGGCGCCATAGCCAAGTTGCACCATCAAAGAAGATCAGCCATAGCTGCGCTGCAGAGTGAGGTGCTGAGTACCTGCACAGAAGACAACGAGAGAGAGAGAGAGAGAGAGAAAGAGAGAGAGAGAGAGAGAGAGAGAGAGAGAGAGAGAGAGAGAGAGAGAGAGAGAGAGAGAGAGAGAGA